CCCCTTCCCCTCCCATATCCCCACTGTGTGCTGATGAAGGCGGTGTGGACTCACTCGGGGCTGGCTGGTGACTATGTGGCTTGGTGGCGGGACTGGTTTTATCTCGGAACTGGGTGGGACGTGGGGCAACGTCGACGTTGATGTAACGGATGGGAACCAAAATGGCGAGCGGAACTGCAGATGCAACAGTCGCTGCAGATGATCAAGGAGGCAGCAGCTACTCGAGTCAACCAAAAGACGCAGGAAATTGCGCGGCTGGAGGAGGAGAACCGGCGGCTGCGGTCGTCGCTGACGGCTGGCGGCTCGCTCGACAGCACGTCTGAGATTGCCCGACTCGAGCACGAGCTGCATGGGTGCAAGCTGGCGCAGATGGAGCTGCATGAAAAGTATGTGGGCGCGCAGCAGGAGAAGAACGACCTGATGATCAAGCTTGTGGCGGCGCGTGAGGCGTCGGCCAAGCTCGAGGTCGAGCTGGCGGATCTGCACCAGCGGGCGGCCGAGGCCGAGAGCCGGGCGACGCGGCTCGAGTCGTCGCTGCGTGCGGTGCAGGCGGCGTCGGCTCACGACGAAGCCGCGGTGATGGCTGCGGCGATTGCGCAGAACGCGCTCGAGACGATGAAGGCTGTGGCGTCGACCGGTGGCAAGCTGTCGGTCGGCGTCGAGGCGCTCGAGCGCATTGCCGGCGTCGGCGGGAGCGGGAGCGGCAAGGCACCGCTCTCGCCTGTGCGCGCTGCAGGAGGCGCCGACCTCGAGCTGCAGAACGCGTCGTGGAAGTCCAAGGCCGACAATCTGACGCAGGAGCTCCAGGTGCTGCAGGCCGAGCTCCGTAAGCACCTCTCGGACTTGCGCGGCGATCTGGTGACGACCCAGACGCGGACGACGACGACGACCGACGCGTCGGTGGTTGTGGTTGAGAACCGGTTCCAGCGGTCGGGTGAGGACGAGGCGGCGCGAGCCGAGAAGCGTCGGGCCAAGGAGGCCGAGCGCGCGCGGATCGAGGCCGGCATGCTGGCTGACGAGGCCGACATTGCGGCGCAGCGTGCGCAGCTCGAGGCGCTCATCCGCAAGACCGAGGCTGCCACCTCGGGCTCGGGTGCCGGCCGCGAGTACGGTACGTCGTCGGCAGTCGGTTCGCCGGTGCCGTCGCCGCTTCGGGCGCGGGCTGAGGTCGCGTCGCCGGTGTACAACTCGCCGGCTGGTGCCGGCTCGGCGTCGGGCTCGATCCCGCTGCAGGTGACCGGCGATCTTGTCGAGGGCTCGCTCTTGGTTGCCTCGCCCCAGGCTGTGCACGGCGCAAGCGGGTTCCGCTACTCGTGGCGTCGCCGGCCGCTTGCCGAGGCGCACTCGGTCAAGATCGACCACGCCGGTCCGCAGTACACGCTGGTCCTTGCCGACGTCGACTGCGTGCTCGAGGCGACGGCGACGCCTGTCGACGGTGCAGGCAACGCTGTGGGCGAGAAGCAGAAGGTCCGGTTCGGCCCGGTCGAGCCTGCGCCGCCGCAGTTCTTCGAGTGGCGGCTCCTGGGCCAGCCGCTCAACACGACGCGGTTCGAGTTTGAAGGCGCGTACTACGGCGGCTACGCCGGTATGCACGAGTACGTGTGGTTCAAGTCGTTTGACGGCGTCAACTGGACCGTTCTCCCCTACCCGAACGGGCCGAGCTACCAGGCGACGGCAGACGACGTCAACGGGTACATTCGCTGCGAGGTGGTGCCTGTCCGCGAGGACGGCGCCCGCGGCTCGCTCGTCGGAGCGCAGTCGGCGCAGATCCTCATGGATCCCGACGTCGAGGCTGCGGTTGACGACCGGTATGCTGCGGGCGTGGCCGCCTTTGAGGTCACCATGGCTGACTCGTTTGAGCGTGGCAAGCTGACGTTCAAGAAGAACAAGTTTACCCTCAAGACCTCGTCCGAGAGCTACACGTACGCATACGCACCCGACGGCGGCATCAAGCTTAACCCGCGCGAGGACCAGCAGTTCCAGCTCCTGCTCAACCGCGACGAGGGCTTTACGCTCAATGCCGTGCCCGCCACCTCGCGCCAGCGCGACATCATCGCCTTTACCCACTTTAGGTATGCTCGCCGCGCGCTGCAGGAGAACTACGCCGACCGCGACTGGGGCCAGCCGTCGCTCTCGTCGGCGTCGCTCCTCTCAACCAAGGCGTCGTCGGCGGTCGGCTCCGAGGCTGTGGCCGACATGCCGGAGCCCGAGCCGGTCCTTGCTGGTGATGGCGAGTCGTCGTCGCGCAAGCACCGCAAGAAGAAGCGCCGCCACCACTCGCGCCACTCGTCGTCGACCAAGGAGGCCGAGCCGGCGACTGGCGCATCGGACAAGTACCAGCGCCACTACGAGAACCTCGACGAGGCTCGCGCCCGCCACGCCGAGCGCAAGGCCAACATGTCACCGGCTGAGTTTGCCGAGTGGCGCAAGACCCGCCACGAGTACATCAAGTCGACCCTCACGCCCGACGAGTACGAGGCATGGAAGGAGGACCACCGGCTGGTGACCTCGATCAAGGACGCGCTCGGCAACTCGATCAAGGATGCCGGTGAAGACGAGGCCGACATCAAGGCTTCGGTCGCCGCCATGAAGGCCTCCATGCCGCCCGAGGAGTACGCCGCCGCCCGCGAGCAGGCCAAGGAGCGCTCGCTCAAGTCGATTTCGTCCTCTCTCAACGACTCGCGCAAGCACAAGCACAAGCGCCGCCGCAAGAGCAAGAAGCACTCGTCGTCCAAGCCGCAGGCCGATGACGCAGCCCCGACCCCCACCTCGGACGACGCCGTTGTCGCGCCCAAGAAGAAGCACACCAAGAAGAAGCGCCGCCATCGCCACCATGACGCGAATGCTGACGCTGACGCTGACGCTGACGCTGACGCGAATGCTGATGCCATCGTTGACAAGCCGTCGTCGTCGGCTGCCGACCAGCCGCCGGCAGAGTCGACCAAGAAGCGCAAGAAGAAGCACCGCCATCACGCCGATGCCGACTCGGCCGCCTCGCCGGCCGCCGTCGCCGACTCCACCGACGCTGCCGACGCCGAGACCTCGAAGAAGCGCAAGAAGAAGAAGAAGCACCGCCAGCCCGAAGCAGTCGCCGCTGCTGCCGACGCCGACACCGACGCCGACGAGCTCGAGCCCGACTCGGACTTTGCCGGCATGGAGACGATGACCACAACGACTGAGTCGCGCAAGTCGCGCAAAAAGTCCAAGTCCAAGTCCAAGTCCAAGGGCAAGTCCAAGGGCAAGTCGAAGAAGAGCAAGCGCGAGAAGGAGCCGTGGGAGTACAAGAAGAAGGAGGATCTCACGCCTGAGGAGCTGGAGCTTCGCCAGGAGCAGAAGCGCAAGAAGCTCGCTCACCTCCGGAAGACCCTCGGCAAGGAGGAGTACCGCCGTCGTGTCAAGGCCCACAATGAGGAGCGCCGTCGTAAGAAGGCTGCTGCCGCCGCCCAGTAAACCCATATCTCCCCCCCCCCCCCCCCCCGTCCCTCTACCGTGCTACTGATCACTCTCTCCGCCTAAATCTCGTCCTCGGCCACTTCACTCGCCGCCTCACCAGCGAGTCGCACTCCCACGGCCGTACCCACCCATGGGCTGCCCACCGCCCGGCTGTGAGCTGATTCACGACGGAACACGGATCATATGCAAGAACTGTGGCACTGTAGCTACGGAATCACAACTAGATGTACGTACACCCATCCCCCCTCCCCCCCTTCCGACCCCGGGTGCGGCATCATTGAGGACACGGCCGGCGGTAATTCTGCCCCATGCCCGGTTGCCTGCAACTTCGCCCTTGACG